CCCCTCCCCCTCCCCCAACCCGACTCCCCCCCGCAGGGCTGCTCGCCATTTTCGGAAGTGACAGTGCTGTCCTAGCCCGAGTAATACATTATGGACGAAATTTAGATTAACTCTAGCAAATAAAAGAATTTCGGAGTAGCCCCATCTCCCCCAGAATCATTTATGCGGATAAAACCCGAGTTCACCCACTTCCCCATCCCCCCCCCCTTTCTTGCAGGGCTGCTCGACATTTTCCGAAGTTACGGTGCTGGCTGAGATTTCCTGCGCCAAAATTTCAAAAGAGGCGCCGCTCGAGAAAGTGTGCCTGCTCGGCTGCGGGATCGCTACAGGCTGGTAAATCTAATAATAATAATAGTAATTGTAATAATAATAATAATAATAATAATAATAATAATAATTCAATAATATTGTTTGAATTAATAAGAACTTCAACGATGACCATACAACTGGCATAGCACTGACAATGCTAAGAACATAACAACATCAATAGCGCCTGCTCGGCTGCGACATTGCCACGGGCTGGTGAAACTCTTCCCGTGCTGTATATTATTACGTTAATATTTCTTATATACAGTAATAATATACAGTAATAATAATTACACAAAGTAATTATTATTACATACAGTTATAATTATTATATACAGTAATTATTATTACCTATTGCCACGGACTGGTGAGACTCGCTCCTTTCTATATTTGTGACCCCCCCCCCTTGTTGTTGTTGTTGTAATTCACCTCTCATCTGCCAGGGGAGCGGTGTGAAACACGTGCAAGGCTGTCAACACTCTCACCCTCCCCCTTCCCCCTTCCCCTCCCCTGCAGGGGAGCGGTGTGGAACACGTGCAAGGTGGAGGCGGGTGCGAGCGTGGCTGTCTTCGGACTCGGCGCTGTCGGCCTCGCAGTCGTGCAGGCTGCCCAAATTGCCGGCGCGCGCGCCATCTACGCTATCGGTACGCCGCCGTTTTTTTACTTCATTTTTTTCATAATAGTTCTATTAACGTCCCCCGCGCCTGCGCAAAAAAAAAATGTTTCGGGTGGGAATTTGAGTGTGTACGTTTCCAGACGAACGTCCGCTCCCAAATAGTCCCCACCGAACCCAAGCGTTGAGAAACACTTGGGCCAAGGGGCACCTTTTTTGAGCCCACGGAAACCTGCACCCACCGCTGAATATACCACTGTGAAGAGGGATGGGCGGGAGGCATGGCCAGTGCCTCACTTTACCCGTTCCGCGTTTTGCAACGCGGTTTGTGTGTGGAGATACACACGTGTTCTGACTGCCCCCCTCTGTTCTCCTTCAACCACCATTTAGTCGATTGAGACTTCCACTCTAACCTCCCTCCCCACCCCCCCCTTCTTCTGCAGACATGAACAGCGGCAAGTTTGACGCGGCGCGCGCGCTGGGCGCCACCGACTGCATCAACCCCTCCGAGCTCCCCGAGGGGCAGAGCACCGTGCAGGCGCTGGTCGCCAAGACCACTTGGTGCGCGTGTGTGTGTGTGTGCGTGTGTGTGTGTTGTGTGTGTGTGTGTGTTGTGTGTGCTGAACACACAGAGGATGCTGATAGATATGGATAACAATCTGACCCCCCCCCTCACCCCCACTTCCACCCCCCTATCAGGGGTGTGGACTACACATTCGACTGCACGGGCAACACGCAGGTGATGCGCTCGGCGTTGGAAGCGTCACACCGAGGTGTTCGGAATAAATTACAATAATTATGAATGTACACTAATAGCGACAATACCTATATATTTAGATTCAATATTGGTATTCAAGCTGGCTTCTGACTGTCCTGGAAGTTGTGCTAGTCTGAGCGCTGCGTCCTAATGACAAATGTACACTAGTAGTTACAATCCCATTTATAAAAAACGAGAAATTGATAATTTTCTTATTACTTTTTTTTAGATATAGATATAGAGATAGAGATAGATATAGATTTAAATTTAATTGAAGTCATCCTCCATAACCCCAACCCAACTATAAACCCCGTACCAAACCCCACGCCCAACTCTATTATCTCATTCGGACAGGCTGGAGCATGAGCTGCGTGATCTTTTTCTTAGAATGAAATCTAGATTAAGCTTTAGATTTAGATTTAGATCTAAGTGAAGTCATCCTCCTAACTCAACCCCAACCCCAACCCCACACCTACCTTTATTCTCTTTTTCGGACAGGCTGGGGCGTGAGCTGCGTGATCGGTGTGGCTGCTGCGGGTCACGAGATCTCAACGCGCCCCTTCCAGCTAGTCACGGGCCGCACCTGGAAAGGCACTGCGTAAGCGCAACCCCCTCCTTCCCCCCCCCCACCTACCCGTGCCGCCCCATGATCTTCTCCTCCGAACCGACTCATCAGACGCCCTCTTGCACGTCACTCTTCTCTCAAGAATAATCAGAATCGTAATCAGAATCAGAATCATAAAAAAACTAAAACAAAAAAAAACTTTTTAGGTTTGGCGGTTGGAAGAGTCGCAGCCACACAAAAAAATCAGAATCATAGAAATAAAAATAAATATAAAGGTAAACATAAATATGAATATAAATAAAAATAAAAATATTATAAAACTAATTATAACTGTAAATATTATTATAATCTTCTCAGATTTGGTGGGTGGAAGAGTCGCAGCCACATCCCGCAACTCGTCTCGCGCGTGATGCGCGGCGAACTTTCGCTTGAGCCCTTCATCACGCACACGCTCGATGGCATCGGTATGATTACCCCCCCCCCCCCCCCCCAACCA